ATTTGTACATCTTGTTTATAAATGAAATCAATAAATAGAAGTTGCTTTTAGACAATAAATATTGAATCCTTAAATTTTACTTCATCACACATTATCCTTACATGGGCTCGATGTTAACAATCAAGCCAGCTAACGGTAGCTAGTGTAAGACCAGTAAAGCTACTAGTAAAGAGAGAACATACAAATCTTTTTAATTACAAAATACACCGATCAGAAACACTGACCAGCTAATAAACACTCTGGAAGTGGCCAAGTGTGAGAGTTCTGTTCTCTACTCTGTCTTTCCTCTTCAACAAGAACTCGAGATTTAGACAGGTAGCTCAAAACTGTATACCTGTGATGTGCTCTGAATTTGACCAATGAGCACAGCTATGCCACGGCATCACTGATCAGGTAGGACACACAGACAGGATCTAAGATGGAGCTCACACAGCTAATGTTAGGTAAAAGACAAAAAGACATTTTTATTACATGTCCGTAATACTGCTGAAATGATGACATCACACACGTGGTTCTTCCCCACACTGTTGCCACAAGCTTGGAAGCACAGAATTGTATAGAATGTCTTTGTATGCTGTAGCGTTGTTTTAGACAGTGGGAGAAAGAACATGAACACAGAAAGTAACCCAAGCTCACGATCAAATCAGGGACCATGGAGCTGGGAGGCAGAATTGCTACCCACTGCACTCCCATAGCGCACATTGTGTATTGTGAAAATGTCTTCATGTACTGTAATAAGCAATTTTTGACAAAAACCACTATAGCACTTTCTGTATTGTTTTACACTGACCATGGCATTTACCTGTCCCCTCAACACACACACACACACACACACATACACACACACACACACTTACTTTTACTGTGTTTATCTGTTGATAAAATTGCTGACACAATTACAAGAAGTGACTAATTGAATAAAAAATGATCAAATGAAGCTTAATCAGCTTTATTACCTTTCAACCCATGTTAGCCACATCCCAAAGCAAGCAAACATGCAGCACCATCACTGAAGAGAATTATACTACTCATTGAGAGAAGCAGATACAGGTATACTGTCTCACACACACATATACACACACACACACACACATACACATACACACACTCAGATCTCCTGAAGAATGTCTGCAGGGAAAAAGCCCAGCTTGCGCCCGGTGCTGACCTTCATATAGCCATTGACCTCCTCTCCCTTCTTCACCACGATCTGCACAGGGTAGAATGGTTTCAGCATTAACAATGAAACACATACAGACACTAACCGGGTCACTGGCCATTCCTGATAGGGCTAGCTGGTGTGCCTTGCAAAATGGCAATGTAAGAGGAAATGTAAGGCTGTATGCTGCCTTAGCTGAGCATTTCTTTGAAAACATTACATAAGTCATTAGTAATTTGGGTGTACACATGTTGTATGTGGGAGAGAATTCCAACCTGGTCTTTTTTCAGTGTGATTTGGCCCATCTCGCGATTCCCCACAAAGGAGCGTGTCACCTTGTACACACTCTCCCCTGAGCGCACACGGATGATGTAGTTTGCCGGGAAGAATCCGGATTTCTCTCCAATTCTACCCTGCAACAGACACACCACCATGCTGCATACATAACTGCATGTTGTAATCAATCATAATAAGGGGTATAACAATACACTCTAGTCATGAATCAATTCGATTTACGATACTGGCTTCATGATTCATGATTCAATCCAATTCTCAGAATATTTTGAACAAAATTTTGATGAAGAAAAATTATGAATGAAAATACCCTTTTTATTTCTATATAATAAACAATGCAAAACAACGTGCATTTTTGTCAGTATACAACTAAATAAATCAAAAATTGCTGCAAACAGAGGTTGTGTATTGTAAATAAAATGTACTACAGGTTCACTATATCTTAAATAAATAAATAAATACATTTATAAATTATCCCACAATTTTTGATTGAAATGATCATTTGAAACATAATGAGCTCCATAGCAGTGCCTGAGGCATAATTTTAACCAGAAATAGAGCTCCAAATTTGGCTAAAATGCCCGGGTTCAGCAGCCTCTTTCTTGGGCACGGGCTCAGGGACGGTGTTGTTTGAAAGCTACTGAAGGGCTCTTTTTAACTGTAATAACTTGGTCATGTAACCATATAACCTGTAATGCATGTCGACCGTTGCAATATGGAGCTATCAGCCAGCGTGCTTTCTACATATTTTATGGGTTGTGCAGATTGGGACCTTTGGTGTTCAACTGAATGCTGATGTACACTATGTGAATCACACATTCCCACAATGCACGTCATCAAATTTTTTGCATCGCGATGCATCATGTCACAATGTAATCATAATAGTAGATCTTAGATAGGCAATGGATTCCAAAACAGGATTACTACATTACTGTGCCCTAAAGGCTTGAGTTTTAAATATAGAACATTAATCTATATTTTCTGTACAACCAGTAAAACTCAACAGAGTGTGCTGTTATAGGAAAATAATCGACGACGGGGTGAGGTAATGTGGCCTAACATGAAGCAGAGGGACATTACCACCCTGAAGGTGATTATTTTCCAATATCGGCATGCCTCAATATGAGTTATTCTTTTTGTACCACAGAAACAATCACAGAAACAATATCTTTAGAATGAGCACATTAATATAAACCTTTGATTTGCTGGAACTACTGTCAGACCTCCTGTTACAGAAAATGTATCAACAATATCTGAGCAATCAGAATCGAGAATTCAACAGGGCCATGGTATAATGTTTAACATTAAATAATTAAATACTTACTCGCCACCACTCCTCATTGGAATCATCTATCACTGTAACATGATCCCCAGGACTGGAACACACACAGATAATCAAGGATAAACATTGTTACTGATCAAAGACAGACATAAACACATTAACACACAGCAGACTCAGTGACAATAGTAAATATGGGGGAGGATAAAAGCTAGAAAACATCAAAAACAGGATTGATATTGAGCATTAGATTCTAGCCTGGTCTGGATTTTCACTTACTGCAGGTCCAAGTCATCTTTTTCAATGGCTTTAAAACAATACAGGGCCATGTAGTAGTGTGACTGAGAGAAGACTCCAAGTTTACCAGGATGAGGCTTCTTCATCTGTAACACACCATAACGCAGAGAAATCTGAATTTATGTCCACATATGGGATCCTAAATCCACAAATGTCATCAACCCAGGCAATATGAAGTTGGCCAAAAGCAGCTGTATAATACAAAACATTCCAAATAGTTGTCATCATCATAATGAGCACTAAGCTGTAGTCTCTGACCTTTTCATCTGTGGTTTTGTCCTTCTTTTCCATCTCTTGGCTCCCTGGGCAGAGTTGCTGGTGTTGTTACACTTATTACACACCCATGTACCCGTACTTACTTACTTACCTACTTGCACACATAAATAATCTTTTTATTTAAACATTTTTTTCAAATTACAATCTGTCAGCATTACTCACGGTTCTCTCCTTCCCCTTCCTCGGCTTTAGGTTGGGATTCCTCTTCTTCCATCATCATCATCATCATCATCTAGGACAGTAGAAAGGTTCACCAGTGTATACAGTAGTGTTGCATATAAAATGCAAACACCACTTCTCTGTCTCTCACTTTATTGGTCACCTTACATTTTTCTTCTGATCTTCTGATCTTTTCTTCCTTTCCTTGTTGGCCATGATAACCCCGATACGTAGCGTCTCAAAGACCGGGTCAGTGCGGTTAGACTGTGCTGTAAAGAAAATAAAAAATAAATAAATAAATACATCATTAGCAGTTCTATAGGACATCCAGGCTGGCTTTAGATGAGAGTAATGAAGACTGTTTGAGACTTGACCAGGTAAACCACTTACAGAAGGGAAGCAGCTCTTTAACCGTGGCGTTCTGCTGAGTGCTGTAGAGAGGAGAGCTGTAGGCCCGTCTAAAACCTGGAGGCTGAGAGAGAGAGAGAGAGAGAGAGAGAGAGAGGTATACAGAAAAAGTTAATTTATTATTCAATTAGGGGTATATGAAACAAGCATACAAGCATATTCTTAACTACTCACAATTTTCCCAAAGCACTGCTGGAACTCGACATAGCTCTGACACTGATGATGAATATTGGTCTTGCAGTTTTTACACCTCAGTGCAAATTTATTGTTAACTGCAAACAGAAAATGGTGAGGAAACATCTCTGAGCCGAAACAAGACAGCAATCTCGTGTTGGTTCATAGCCAGCACACTTACGAACAATCATGCGTGCGCACACATCACAGAATTTGAGCTTCTTGCAATAGTGATCTTTAAACTTGTGGGGTTTATCATTGATGGGTTTAACTGGTTCAGGAGGGGGAGGCTTCTCTTTCTCTTCTTCCTCTATCTCTTCATCATAGATGAAGTAGACCTGAGAGAACAAATCACACAGAGGTGTGACATTTCCGGTACTGTGGTGAAAACCCACTGCCACACATGCACCATTCCAAGTCGGTGTTAACACTTCTCTATTGTTGGACACAATCTGTTTCAATGTCTTATGGGAGAAGAATAAACAACAGAAGAGAAAAAAACATCATGGTGTGAACATGGAAGGCTCATTCAAAGCAGAAATGCAACAAGTCCAGACCTCTGGAACTACTTGTAGTGTGATATTTCTTCAACCATTATAACTGCTTGCTTTTTCCCCCCTCATCTGACACTTTATCTGACAACTTCTTAATATCAAAAAGACAAAAAACATATTTACATAAAAATACACATCACAGTCCATATACAAATATTCGAATTTAAAATTTATTTCTTTATATTCAAATGTCAAGGTTCTAAATTTATTGAGAACAGTGTTTCTCAAAAAGCACAGCCATCCATGATTTTTAAATTTACTTACAGCAGAGGAAATCAAAACCAACTATTATTTAAGTCATTATATGGATAATTGAAATCTGAGAGTTAATTGCATGTTAGGCTGGTCACTTTTAATTAAAGCCATTTAATTAAATGGGTTTAACCTAAACCTCAGTAAGATCCCTGGGGGGGGCTAGTGGTTAGACCTCGATGCTCCCACCCCCGTGGCCCAGGTTCGATTCCCGGCCACGGCACCAACCTCAGCTACTGGGGTTGCACACGGCAGTGCACTCCGGTGCCAGTCCCAAGCCCAGATAAACTTAGGGAGGGCTGTGTCAGGAAGGTTGTAATAAAAAGATAAAATCTTATTGTACACATTTAAATAATGCTCATGAAATAAAACTCTTCTGAGGGGGTCCATGCAATGTAATTTTACAGTTAAAGGGGTCCCTGGCTACAAAGAATTAGAGAACCCTTGATATAGAATACTCAAAATAAACCTGAAATGTTTCCGAATTGGCCAGTCCCTGTCATGACGAACATGCAAAGAATCTCCAATCTACTGAGACCCTGCAATTCAAGAAGGCCCTGTTGCTGTCTGTGATCTGTTTTCACCTCCCGAGAATGCTGTCCAGCACCTGACTTGGCCTTTCTTTCACAGCAGAACTCCCACACATGGGTATCTAGAAATAACTCTGACAGGGACTGATATCAGTCTAAGCAGGGATTGCTGGAATGGGGTTTGATTTTGCTCCTAAATATGTTTCAAAGCAAAGACATACACAACCAACTGCTGATACAGGGATATCAAGCTATCTAGAAAAGAAGCAAATACCTTTTTTTCACAGTGATTTAAATATACCCATGCTGCAGATCATAGAAGTAAAACCAGCCATCATAGCCGAGAACTGAACCTACTGTGTTGTTATCCTCCTTCACTATGTTGTCAGGAACAGGAGGATTGTCATGGAGGTCCAGGGAGTCCTTGTCATCCAATCTGTGGGCAGCAAAAAAGCTGAGGTGCAGTGATTTATGGGAAAGGATACTGTAGTGTATGTGGTGAAGTTTACTACTGATGTGTGATCTCTGATGATCTAAGATCTGGCTTTAACAACATGGTCACATGAACTCAAATCTTTCATCAGCACAACCCACCTTCTGTGTTTGTGTGTGTGTGTATACACACACACACACACACACACACACACACACACACACACACACACACACACACACACACATACTGCTCTATGAACTTTCCATTCTTTTCACAGTACTTGTAAAAATTCTATTACTGGGTCATTGTCCATAGGGTACAGATGCATTGGACAGACATTAGGTTGAAAACGGTGGAATATGCCCCAGGTGTGAAAGGGAAAAAAATGCTGGACACTGGTCATATGCTGGACACTTACTGGTCAAAGTGGGACATGTCTGAAAGCAGAGCAGCTTCTGTACAACCAGCAGGGGGCGCTGTAACATTAAACATATCATGACATCTTCATCTCATAACATACAAGATCCAAATTTGGATGATGATGTTATTATTATTATTATTAGTAGTAGTAGTAGTAGTACTTTTTATGTAATAATTCTGAATGAAAAGCATATTTAACTGTCAAGCAAAACATAAAAAGCCTTCCCTTATATAATATTCCAAGTAGCTATATGTAGATTAGGTAATAGATGAGGCAATTAATGTGTGGTGGTAGATTTCTATTCAAAGTAGTGTAGCAGGGACCGTAAGTGCTGTCAAATATATGATAATCAACTAAAGAGAATTTTGCATTTTGAGGATGCAGTTCATTATCTTTGTGACCCATCATTGAGAAAGTGAGATTCTGAATGCATATTACATTCATTCATCAAAACATATTTACTTAGTTGGCGTTTAAAAGTCAAGCAAAAGCACACATCAACTATTATAAAATCCTCTGAAGTGGAGGTAAAAACCCTGCTTGTAGCTTTTCCAATCACTTACAAGTCAAAACGACCAGTGAAAAATCTCTGCACTAATTTTAAAATATGCAATCTTACCTTCAATATGCGCTGATTTGGTTGCAGGCTGGCTGGGGTTTAGGGAAGTGAGCGGTCTTGTGAACCCAAACCCCTCACCCGCTCCCAACAGGTGGGGAACGCACCAGTCCCCCTGGAAGTGAGTCAGCGTGTGTGGACCACAAACAGTATTTGAAACAGCTGCACCTGTCAGGAGTTCATACCCCACTGAAAGAAATGAACAAGCCAAATGGACAATTCTTTCAAATCCTCCAGTTGATAGTTCCTTTGGAACAGAACTTATAGCAGACGACAGTAACACATTTGAAATTATTCAAGTCCATGTAAACCAAGTGTTGGAATATGTGCATTATGTGGGGTAATGTAATGCTTTATCAACAAAACGTGTTGTATTCCTCATAACAATTTGCCTATGATTACACTGCTTTTATTTATTAATAAACACATACATTTTAACTTTTTATATTTACTGTTATTAGGTTCTGTTGTCAGTGGATAGCAGCTATACACAGTCATTCTTTCACCAGACGTGTTTCTCTCAGTCTTTTTTCTCTTACTTTGAGACTCTGATACTGGAGTCTCCTTACAGAAATCTCACTATATCAATGACTGTACACACTCCTGATCAGTTTATTATTATTGTTAGATTAGGAGGATTGTCTGCCATACAAGTTCCTTTGAATGAGCTGTTACTATAGAAAAAAATGTTTTAGAACAAGTGCATTAATATAAACCTGTGATTTGAATTACACTACTGTCAGAGCATCTTCTGGCCAATCTGATTCGAGTATTCAGTTTAACTCTTTAATTTGAAGGGGTTTTCAATAGCTTTTTTTTTTTTTTTAAATAACTGATTTCTCAGTATTTCAAAAAATGTAATAATCAGTAATATGACCCGAGTTATTATAAATCATTATGCATTTGCATCTCATTGCTCTTCCTCTACAAACTCCTCTTCAGTTCCTCTTCATTCAAACACACACACAAAGGGATTTTTTGTCTTCTTTTATATTTTTAAAAACAAACAAAAAAGAACAAAATGAATTTACAGTAGACATTTGCAATCTTTGTGCACTTAAATACCTCAGATAACTTTCTGCACAGCTGTCACAAAAAAAAAAGATGCAAAACACAATGATGAAGGAGGAAGGGACGAGGGAGCGTGGGGGGAAAATGAGGAAAAGGGAGGAAAGACATGGATGGGGACAGGTTGTAAAGGAACTTTAACTTATCCACCGGGGAAAAAAATCACTGAATATATAGATTTATTATAATCCTTACATCACTTATATAAATATATCGAACAAAAGAGGAACAATATTTCAATATTTCATCTGTGAGAAAGAGAGAGAGAGAAAGAAAGAGCAAGAGAGAGAGAGAGAGAGAGAGAGAGAGAGAGAGAATATGAGAAAGAACAGCGCAATACAGAAGTCCACAACAGCATTAAGGCAAACGGAAAGCAAGAGAGAGAAAGAAAGAGCCATCTTGAAAGTGCAGAGAGAGAGAGAGAGAGAGAGAGAGAGAGAGAGAGAGAGAGAGAGAGAGAGAGAGAGAGAGAGGAGCATCAGGAAAAGAATGTGATAGAGAAAATATTAGCCAGAGAGAGAGAGAGAGAGAGAAGGCATATGATGACTGAAGGAGAGACAGGATGAAAAAGATGGGGAGAGACAGAAAAAGAGACAGAAAGAGAGAGACAGAAAAAGATGGGGAGGAGCCTGTCCAACACCCTCTGTCCAGTGCATGGCTGTGTGTAAGTGTGTGCGTCTGTGTGTACATAAGGAATTATATATACAGAGGTACAACAGAGGTACACATGCTTACGTGTGTTATGTCTTCTTTGCGTAATGATACAAAAAAAGACTGCGAAAATCAGTATGATCTCTTTCTTCTCTCCATTCTTCCACCCCACTCCTCTCCCTCTCTCTCTCTCTTTCCTCACTGTGAGCTAGCTCTCTCTAGGACGCGCAGGTCATAGTTCTTTTTGGCAGCGCGCAGTTTGAACAGACTCCCTCCGCTGTTGTTGAGCTTAAAGGAAGCGCTCTGTGCAGCCATGGTGTTGGGGAACACTGCCACCACAGTGTAGAGGTGTGCTGGGTCATGGATGTCACCCTTTCCTACTGCCCCGCCCCCTCCAGCTCCATGCGCTGGAGTAGTGCCAGTTCCCCGGGATGCCTGCGGCTCCTTCAGCCACTGGATCTTGGCCCCGCACATCGAGAGCTGGTTGAAGAGCTTCTCGGCCTCTGGGCGAGAGATGCCCTCAGGCAAGTCTGTAACCTCCAGCACACGACTCACCACTGCACAGAGAAATGGGTTGATACTTTGAAGGTATGCATCGAGTAGCAAAACATCCTGCCAGTGATAATCCAGGGAAGCCTTTTTTTTTTTTTTTTTTTTTTTAAACTTTTTTAATTTAACTGCTGCATTGCCATCTGTGTAGAAGTGGAACACAGCTGGAACACAGCATCATGTCACTCAGCAACATAAAATCAATCATTCTGGTTCTAAATTATAGACAAAATACATTATTATCACTATATGCTATCTGATAGTTTGGCCATATTCCCCAGTGTGTAAGGTTAGCACTGAAGTAGATTCACATTTACATTGTGTGTGTGGGCCATACCCACGTCAGTAGTGCCTAGATCTGTAGAGGCAGATTTCAGTGTCTGTTTCTTTCCTCGGGCTCCATGCTTTATCACTCCTGAAGTCTGTGGACAGACACACACCAACTCAGTGACTTCACATGGCTCTCACAGAGGAAGGACCAGTGATGAGAAAGAGAGTATGAGAGAGGGCAGATAAGCTGCTAGAGTGTGTACGTAGGAAAAAACTAAGCGTGTATGTGCATGCTCACCTGGTGGGAGCTGTAGGAAGATTGGGTATGGTTGTGCATGATGGTTGGAGGACACAAGCTGTACTGCAGAGGCTGCCCCAGTAATGAATAGCGCCCATCTCCTGTATCATACACAAAGCAAAGTGTTTAGGGCTTCTGGAGCAAAGGCAACATATTCAGGTCAAACTATCAGTAGAGCAGTAGGGAAACCAGATCCAATGTGTACGTGTTTGTGTTTGTATGTGTACAGTAGAACTTAATCAGGTCACACTGATCTGTTGGTTAGCAGGGTGACAGTGACACATACTGATGTCTCTGAATCTCGCACTTTCATCAAGTTATTGGACAGCTACATGCCATAGAGAAATGTGCATTAACCTAATCAATTCAATTTGTGACCAGAACTGTCAAAATTTTACCTTGTGGAGTTTTCTCAGGCCACCACACTTACACAAGCTACTCATGATGAGCCTGCTTTATATAAAGTGTCTAATACTATGTAATTAACTAAGGGTTTTAGTACAGTTAATAGTTATGTATGGAAGTAACCTCCTACAGACTTATGTACTTACTTTTATGTAGCTGCCAAGCCATAATGCTCTAGCAATTACAAATGAGTAAAACAAATATTGTTACACCAATACTGCATGTTGTGTAATTAAACAGGTATGCAGCAAAACATTATAAGCAAACTATGCAACACGTGTACTGTTACTATAAAGTATAAGTGATTACAGTGTGCACTATATGCAATTAGCAACTTATTATTTGTGTGCATACTTAAAAATTACATAACACGCATAATGGATAGAAGACTCAATATTAAGTTATGATGTCGTAATTGACAGTGAGTACTATCTAAGGTACTACAGTGAGAATTACCTGTGTGTGTGCGCATTTCTGTGTCTGTGACTGCAGGTTCCTGTCTTTATGTGCTAAGCGTCTAATGATACACATTAACATTCATTTTCTTCCCATAAGGCATCTGCGAGACAATATGAGCTGTCAATCGAATACAGTTAGATTTGATACTATGAAAATATTTCTGATCAGAAATACAATAATGGGACTGGTTTCTGCTCTTCCATTCCTAAAAGAGAACCACAAATGTAAGGGGCAAAAAAAAAAAAATTCCCAGAACTATTTCAAATACGCAAATAGAGTTGGGAAACAAATAGTTTTCAAACAGTGACTGCTAGAAAAAGCCAAATTATCACACAGGTCTCCTGTTGGAGAAACATGACAGTTTTACAGTGCTAATGGGGGCAGTCGTGGCCTAATGGTTAGCGAGTCTGACTTGTAACCCGAAGGTGAACCTGAAGGTTGTGGGTTCGAGTCTCGGGTCCGGCAGGGATTGTAGGTGGGGGGAGTGAATGACCAGCGCTCTCTGCCTCAATACCACGACTGAGGTGAGACCCTTGAGCAAGGCACCGATCCCCCAACTGCTCCCCGGGGGCTGCAGCTAAAATGGCTGCCCACTGCTCCGGGTGTGTGTTCACTACTGTGTGTGTGCACTCGGATGGGTTAAATGCAGAGCACAAATTCTGAGTATGAGTCACCATGCTTGGCCACAAGTCACTTCACTTCTTCTATAATATCTCAAACCTCATCATCAGTCCTTTGCAACTGTCAGTTACTAGCAGAAGGAGAAAACAGGAGTCACAACTCTGGCACTCTGATCAGGATATATAGTTTCCAAATAAAGACATTTATTAGTTTGTAGAGAAGCGTTACGTTGTTTGCTCTGAATTGTGATCAATAACTGTCACAATAACTACTTTTGTTGGACAACATATTGTCCCAGAAATAACTGCAATAAATGATATTATTGTCATTTTAAGACCATCTTATGCCACTGATATAATGATAATATAATAGCATAGTAATGCAAGTACACCCTTCCTAACAGCAACAAACTTTTAACTCTTAAGAATATTCAGACATTGGATTTGGAATGTTAAAAACAGCAGATTTTTAAATCAACAGTCCACAAGAGGGCACAACGATTAAATACAAACCAAACAGCGTAGTGTTATATTGTTTATTGCAAAGAACAAACTGTTAACAAAGTGCATTTATTTATAGGAAAATTATAAAACCAAAAGATTTAATCTTGGCTCTCAGGTCAGTTCCTGTGTTCATTTTCACACTGTTTCTAGCCATAGTTTTTTGTCTTCTAACTTGTTTATTAACTTAAACATGTCCCTGATCTCCAGAAATATTAACATTTTACAATACAACAATAACACACTGTTGTGGGGTTCCCGGAGGACTAGTGGTTAGGCCTCAGTGCTCTCACGGCTGCGGCCCGGGCTCGATTCCTGGCCAGGGAACCGACCCCAGCCACTGGGGCTGCACACCACAGCGCACTCCCAGTGCCGGTCCCAAGCCCGGATAAAACTGGCGAGGGCTGCATCAGGAAGGGCATCCAGCGTAAAAACTGTGCCAAATCAAACATGCAGACTAATGATCCGCTGTGGTATCCCATAACGAGAGCAGCCGAAAAAAGAACAACAACAAGTACACAAATTGTAACACAATATTGTGAATTCTTTATGGTTAATTATTCATTGTCTGTGTTTTAGTGCGTTGTTACAGAAGGAGCATATTACTTAAGTTCAAGTTCACTTGTGCATTCGTGTCATTTTGTGCAGATGTTTATGTTTATTGTATATGTTATTAAGTTTATGTTGTGTATATGTCTGATTAATCTGCTATGTGTATAGGATGCATCTGGGTGAGTTAACTAACCCACTAGTAAAGCGCTTCAGTTGACCTGCATTCATTCACTGTTCAGCTTCAGCTCACGCAGCTTATGCGGGTCAATCCCCGACACTACTGACTATGACTGGATTATCTGAAACACTGTAACTATTCTTTCTAGCTTTTTCTTCTTCAAAAAACAGTGCATTGTTAATATCTTGCATGTCATTTTTTTCAACAGTAGACGAGAGGACAGAAGCAGCACAAATGGCTAAAATGTTGGTGATATTCATTCTTATGTAAACAAACATGCATGCAAACACAATGAACAATATCAAGGTCAGCAAAACTGATCAAGGTCATGTCCATATATCGTATGATAAGTCGATAACGTAATCATGACATGTCTAACTGCGATTTTCCCTTTGCTTTTATTTATTTATCTTCTAAGAGAATTACTTGTATTAAATAACATTTTATCAGACACTGTTTGGCAACATGACCAAACCGATTAATGCAAAATGACAGTGTTTCATTTGACCTGTGTACTGAAAGTCACGTTGTGGAGCAAAAATGACAATACATATTGTGTAGTGAAGTTAAGTGTGTTACCTTGTGTGGGTCCACCAGGCCGTGGAAACTGGGAAATGAGAGGCAGTGGGCCGAGCCCAGGACACACATTGTTTCCGCTGCTTGATGGAGTGGGAGTGGGTGACTGAGTAGGAGATGCCAGCGGACTATTCAGCTGAGTGCTGACCTAAAGAGAGAGAGAGAGAGAGAGAGAGAGAGAGATTAGAAGTAGTAACCTCACAAATACAGGTCCCACTAAATAATGTGTGTATTAGGACAGTCAAATTCCCTTAAAGGTTGATTTTGAGTTAAAGACTGCTGTAGAAAGCAATAATTTTCATCTCCCATGGTTCATGCCATACAAACATGAAGAAAATCGCAAAGAGGCAGTAACAATGGATTTGCTCTCAAATTTACAAGTCTGTTTACTTCTGGTTAGAGCAAAGATATCTTCCCTTCTGTACTGATCTCCTACCGTAATTTTTCCATTCCATTGTGCACACACTAATCATAATATTTTGTGTTCTTTTTGATGTGTGAAAACCATTTTTCATTATTTCGGTTGCGAAATTGCAGCCTTGAATCAGATAAATGAAGCCTGATGATTATTCAGTGCAGCACTATGAGCATTGTGTCTATTTCTACTCAGTCTTTATCATTTCTCTCCATTATTTTTAATTAGCGTTAGTGTTTATATACTGTTTGTAGTGTTTAGCATTATGCATACTGTGTCAACAAATTTTTGCCACTTTTATTCTCTTAGGAATCAGATATTTTAGACCTTTAAACCTAGCTGGCTGCAGATAAACTGAAATAAAAGCAAGTGAGCTTTCACTGTGCCCACTGCAGCCCCCAGCACATTTAGGCCAAATGTTCTGTTGATTAGATAAGCTATAATATAATGGTGCTTTTTGTAAATTTTAACTATTGACACACTGTATAGTGTTACTTACAGCACACATATAGATATGTATAATTAGAAAATGTGTGGATAATTTTAAAAACATTGTGAAAATAAAGTATGCAATAAATTACATTAAAGTTAATAACAATTAACCCCATTCCATACATTCCATACGTCAAGTGACAAGAAATATTCATCCAAAAATACAGGAAAACTTATAGATGAAGTTCTACTGAAAGTACAACAAGGGACTGTAAACATCCAAATGTGGATTTTTTTTTTAGAAAATGCCTATGGTTTCTGAAGACTGAAATTCATTATGACAGCATGCGTGTGTTTGTGTGTGCATGTGTAATACCTGCGGCTCAGGTTTGCTGGGTCTCTGCTCCACACTGTAATACTTGCAGGGATTCCACTGTACCATGGGAGGATTCTGGGTAGGCTGTGGCCCATTCGGAACACTCAACTGCATCACCATAACACTTGGACCAGGAGGTGGCACTCCTAAACACACACAGATAAACCCACACAAACACACAGACACAGAGCCACACACATCATTAATACACTACTTCAGAGAAATCCGTTTCGGTATTGTCTCACATGGTGCTGAAAACAAATCACATTCATGAGAAACTGCGTGAGTAATACATCAGTAATGAAACACATTGCTGGGTCAGTGCTCTCTTGTCTGTTTAATTGTGTAAAGCCCTTTGAATTTGATTAGACAAAATTATGTTAACAGTGTATATTAAAAAAAAAAAAAAAAAAAAAAAAAAAAAAAAAA